ACACCTTGTTGCCACAGCTCATAATTTATTTAAACGGAAAAGCCCCGCAAATAGCATTTGTGTCTCGCATTTTCAATGCCTCTTTAAAAACCAAAGTCTTCAGCAATTGTCAATTCCTGCGGCGTAGCGCACAAAGCCGTCTGCCTGGAAAAAATAAAAGCTTGTTAATGTCTTTTTTTTATTTATATTTTTGTTTTGCTAACAGCTCCAATAATAAACTGCCCAAGACCTGCGTTTATCGGACTTGGGACATATTTTCAAAGTTTTCAATAATGCGCAAATTATTTCCATCTGAACAAAGATTTTAACGCCTTGTAGACATTTGGCTACTGCAGCTATGTGATAAAGAGAAGCTCGTAAAGGTTGGGTATGATGATATATATGATATGTTGCTCCGATCTGGCCGATGATAGCTTTACAGCTGGCTATATCAAGTCGGCTGTTAATGTTGATATAGAATATATATATTGTATGTGGTCGGAGATGTCTCCGGCTTTGCGTTACACATTTCATGACAAAATTATAATACTCTATACACAAAATGTTAACAGGAGATATGGATAATGAATTTAATATATAAGTATAAAAGCTTAGACAACTTATTAAAAAGGCACCTTCTGTGCTTTAAAGACAGGCTAAATCTTGGGTTTGATTCCTGCGTGTTACTCGTTTTTTTTTTTAGATTTATGCATCCGTCAAAAATCGAACTTCTTTATGTAGTCAGTTTTATTTTCCGTTCTTCAAACGATCGAATTTGAAATTGATTTTTGAAATCAAGTTACTTTTGTATATTTTTTGTATATTCCATTAGTGAAGTAATAGAAGCAGAGCCTCGTTGAGACGAAGTTTGTTAATAAGAAACATAAACTTAACTAAATACTATTGCATTGAAGTGTGCATATTAATTCATAAATAAATGTTTATCCAATTTAACTTTATTTAGTTCTTAACAATGTGGCACACATTGAACGTATAGCTTTAATTAATTTAAATTTGCGCAAACGTAAAATAGAGCCATCAGCTCTGCTAATCACGCACTCAAATTGTAATTTTGATAACAATTTTTCAAATTAACGAGCACCTTTGCCGGCTGCCACATAAATCGAGCTTGGACTTGGAATTTTCAGCTAATTTCGCGTGATCTCATTACGTGGCCAGACAGAAAGATGGAGCAGGGAGGCGGACGTTGGGCGGGGAATCGCGCGTAACCATAATTCGAGCAACCAACTATAAATAAGCCAAAAAGCCGCACAAAGTTACCAAAAAAGACAAATTATGCAATTAAATGTAGCGAAAATCTGCGCGTATGGCAAAACTGAGAATTATTTATGCCACAACAGGAAGCAAGCAAAAGCTCTGGCTGCCTAACAGAACACGGCGGACGGGGGCGTGGCAGAATTGTGGGGCAATAACTTGGCAATGCGCTAATGATGATGAAGTGTGCCAAGTAGCTAGGCTATTCCCACTGGCAATGTGCCTTTTCCACCTGACAGACAAAGTTTCAAGTTCTCAAAATACAAACCGAATTTATTAAAGTTTTTTGCAAAGAGATGTGCCACTCGAAGAGGGGTCGGGGGTGGGGGGGTTGGGTGTCTTGCATAGTATCAGCAACGTCTAGACTAGCTGCTTGCTTAATAATCATTTGCAGCAGCCAGCAAACAAACAAAACTCAAGTCGTCTCACGTCAGCGTCAAACGCGCCAACGCGGCGTATGCGCAATATTTGCTGTAATTTACACCAGCTCAAGCCAAAGGCAGTGGGCGTGGCGAATGGGTTGGAGCGGTTGGGGGGTGGCGAGTGCGGGCAGGGCAGCTGCTGCGTGCCATGCTGCGCATTTTAAAAATATATTCACATATAAATAAATACACCGACAACAAAGTTGATAAAAAACAACTTTTTTTTAGAAAAGTAAAAGTCGCCAAAATTGGCTAGGAAATACCCTGGACTCCCTGAAGGGTCCACTTAGGATAAAAAATATAGATACATATAACAATATTTATCGATTTTCAATGATGCAAAATCTTTTCTTAAGCCATCTCTAAGAAATGTATCGATATTTGAAAGAAAAATGCTTTTTCTACATAAAAGAGTTACAAATCGATTTTTATCGATAAGAAATAAAGATGCGAAAAATGCTTAGCTGATTGTGAGGCAACAGCCTGTACATTTCAAAGCTTCTCAGCTAAAAAGTCTATCGATAATTATCGATATTTGCAATTGAAGAAGATAGTCAACCCCTCTCCGGAATGCTCTCCAAATTTCTCAAGTAAATTAAGTTAAAAATATAAGTTAGAATTGTTTTAATGTTTCGAAATGTTTCTCTTAAATGTGGCGCACATTTGCACAGCATGACTATACCCTTTTATTAGCTATACGATGTTTACAGGGTATCAAAAAAGTGTCCGTCGCTGGGCATGGAGTCTAGGATTTGGCTTTGGCTCAACTTTGTCACATATTTTGCATAAGCCAAGGCAATTTTCATGTGGATTACATTTCATTTGAGAACGGGCCACCCCGCCCCGCCCACAGCCACAGCCCCTAATCAGAGCCGACTCCTTGCGGCCTGGCTTTAAAGCAGCTACAGACGCCATCTAGCGACGGGAGCGGAAGTTTTTGTGTGCGTGCCTCAAAAGGAAAACCGGAAAAGATGATTAATTCAAAGTTATTAGAAACCTGACTGAAATTTATAATGCCACAGCAGAAAGGTGACTCGACTCGACTCGGCTCGATTCGGCTTGGCTTGGCTTGGCTCGAGTCGACTCGTTGCACCCAGCTCTGCCCGAGGATGAGCTTGTTGCAGAGGCGCCTTCGAGCATGCAACACTCTCCAAGAAGAAGCAGCACAGGAAGCTGCGGAAAACAGAAGAGGAAGCAGGAAAATACCCGGTACATATTTAATTGTTTGTCTCGCGGCCATTGCGGCATTCATTATTAATATTCCGTATGCGCAATTTGCAATTTTGGCTTAGACAGACACCTCACACACACACACGCAGGGGGTGGGAAAGGGTACCAGAATGGGGGCAGCGGTAGAGTCGGTGGCTTGTCATGAATGCCAAGCACCGCAAAATGCGGTTGAGCTGCAAAATCATTAACTTGTTTTTGTTTTTGATTTCTGTCCCTGCAGCTGCACTGCTTCACTACAGAGAAACTGCTGGGAGACTACAAAATATGGATGGACTGTAAGATTAGAATAATAAAGTAATATAATAAGAAAATATGTATTAGAAAGTTGTACAAGAGACAGAAATAAATTGAGTGCTTAAATTAGAGGACATTAAACAGGAAGCAATTGTTTTTCAACTAAACTAGAGAACAGAAAACAAAAATAATGGTCTGCAGCAAAAACGCATTCTTTGATAACTTCGCCTTTTACGGTGCGATTACAACGAAATTTTCAGGAAATAAATATGGAACTCGAATACGTGTAAACGCCAAAGCCCAATGAAATATCCTTAAAACTTAATTTCGATTTGATCCTGAAGAGTCTACAAATCAAATCTTGCACTTAAAAGGTGAGAGTTATGCTCAAAAAAGCTCTTATCGAACTATCGAAGCTTTGAAGCTAACTTAATCTGCGCTTGGAGGAGCTACTCTTAACATTTAACCAAACACCCGGTAAATCTTGTCAAGCTCCGAAAATCGTCAGTCGTAAAGCCTTAATAGAGAATGCAAAGGGTATTTAGGCATTACAAATATTTAAAGAAATTGTGGCTCAGTGTGAAAGCAGACGCCTTTGTAGAAGAAAATCCCTGGCTCGGTTCCAGAAATGCGCATTTAAGCTCCAACATTTTTAAAATATTAAATTACTTTAATTTTTGTGTTCACATTCATAGCTGTCGCTTTTTTAATCGCTTTTTCAAAATTACTTAACAAGTTATTTGTGAATACGTTTAACTTTTGAAATCAGCCGTGCTCAATAGTTTTGCCAGCAGTGTTCTTATAGTGGGAACAATTGCACAAAAAGCAAACTCAACTCAATTTATTATGCCGTCGCTCAGAAACTGAACTCAGTTAACTTTGAGCGCTTTTGCCCAATGAAGCGCCTTGAGCGTAATGCTAATTTAAGAGTGTCGTCGGGCACAAAGAGCACGCAACAGGGAAAGAGCGTTTGCCGTGCGCTCTTGAGCGCAAAGCGGCAAACAACAATCAAACACATTGTGTTATCGTCGAGTAAACAAAACATATGGCAGCTGAGCTCTGTTCGCCAGCTACGCGACTGAGCAAACAAAACAACACAAATAGAGCAATGCCCATATTTGAGCAAAAGCTTAGTTGTGCAGAGGGAATATCGGTATTTTGTAAGGCTGCTTGAGAAATTGCATAAACAAATTTTAATAGTTGTTTAACAGTGTCACCCACTGTTAGACTGCTCTTTGAGGTTTCACTTTCACTGCTCTCTTAGGCTGTGCTCTTGAGCAGTTACAAAGAGCTGCCGTAGCGCTGCAGTTGCTGCACTTCCGCAGCGCACTTCCTGTTAGGTCCATAACACGCAATTGTCTCAACTGTTAGGTTAACAGTCGTCTGCTGTTAACAGCGCCTTGAGCTTTGTCGCTGACGTCTTCGTCTTCGTCTTCGTCTTCGTCTTCGTCTTCAGCTCTGCTACTTCAGCTTCTGCTTCTACAGAGTCTTCAGCCGTCGGCTGTTTGAATATGTCCTCCTTTGCGACACGAAGCTGCCAGCGAGCCGAGCAGAACAAGAACAAAGCTGCTTTGGCCGAACGATTATTCGAGTGCAACGACAGCGATGACGCTGACTGCAAACGGCGACGCTGGCGCTGACGCTGGCGTCGAGTGCAACTATTGGCGCTGACGCTGCTTTGGCATCGTTGTTCTTAACGTTACACACATAGAGAGAGTGAGAGTGTATGGAAGAGAGGTGGGAAGGGGGCTCCTGCCCAAAACATTTCGCAGTTGGCAGCTCGCATAAGAAGCGCATTTGATTGCAAATGCTGCTACTGCTTCTGCCTGCACCGCTGGCTTCAGTCTCCATTTGACATTCTCCACGTACGGTTCTCGTTCTCGCTGCTGCGTCGCCTCTGTTCGACGCTATCGTCGTCGCCGTTAGTTGCCGTTAGTTTGTTTGTTGTCGTCGCGCTTTCAACTTCGTCGCCCCGTAGCTGCCGCAGCCCAAAAATCAGCCAACAGACTTTTATAATTTTTTGCCTGTCGCTGCTGTAGCTCGCGTCCGTTTACCGTTTCAATTCCAGCGCTAAGTCGCTGGCGCAGGCGATTCGCTCGCGTTTTATTTGCGCGCGCGTTTTTTTCTTGCCCAGCTCGCGATCTTTTGCCCGCGGCTTATCGACGGATCGAGCCAGCGATTAATTCTGTTATCACATCGGTCGATCAAAACATTCAAGAATACCGATATATTTGGACTTTTGTGCGTGACCAATTAAAGAACTTGCTGCAGAACATAACGGAACTTAACAGTGTGAAAAAATACGTAGTTAAAAACTCAAAATAAACATATTTATTATAGGCTATATAAAAGGTATTGGACATTAGGAAATTAAAAAAAAAAAATTAAGGTTCAAATGTAACATTATAAAATATATTAACATTTATTTGTATTAATTTGTAAACCTTCTTTGAAGTAATTTAATTTAATTTAATTCTTCTTTCTTTTATTATTATGTTGTTTCTTATGTCTTAAACTAATATAAAAATATTTTAAATATGTTGGTCATTGCTTGAATTTTATTGTATCTTACTTTATTTTCTAGGCAGTAACAATTATTTGGTTAATTTAGTTATTAATCGCAGATTGTTTTAAAGATATTTATAGAGCTCTTATGGAATATTAGTTTCATTAAAAATATGTGAGTTTATTTAAGTCAATTAATTAGCTAGTTTTTAATCATTTCAATTTAAAGCGAATTATTGTTACCTTTAGTTAATATATTTAAATTTACTAATATAGGAAGTTTCGAAAATATGTTTTTATAAAAATTTACTATTATATAGTATATAATTTAGTATTATTAATATAACTGTTAATAAGTTTTTTCTCTTAATTCACATAGAATTATTTATTTTAAGTTTTTTTTTAAGTTGTTTTTCTTTTGTGAACAAAGTATTTATTTTAAACATTTACAGTGCTGTTTTGCTTAGAAATATTTTACCAAAATTGTGCTCAAGTCGAATTTCCTAAACATAACATTAAGGTTTTTTATATTCTAAAAAAGTTCTTTGTTGTATTTAGAATGGGAAATGAACCTTAAGTTCCATTTGTAAGAGATCGAAAGTTAATACTTCCATTTTCATATTCAACATAACAGGAATACTTTATGCAGTGCAGAACATCCGATAATCGCAGCTTATTTGCATTAAGTTTTGTCTTTAATTCACTGCAACATTTCGAGCTGCAACAAAGACGGAGTCAACATTGTGCCCCGCCTGGCCCCTCGCTGCCCCCCGCTGCCCAATGCCAAAACAAACTTGGCCGACAACAAAATGCCAGCAGTTGCGCTTCCCGAAGTTCCAATCCAAATGCTGATGCTGATGCTGTTGCTGTTGCCACCGACTGGCAACGGGAACGTGTACGGGTCCTGCTCCTAGTCCAAGTCCGGGTCCGGGTCCGGGTCGTGCGACGTTGTTGCTTGCATTTTGGTACCAAATATCGTAACCGAAACCACAACATTCGACGTCAATCAGCAAAGCAGATTTCAATAGCTGCCCCTGAGCGAGTGCGGTGGCGGGTGGTGCGGCGGGGAGGGGTGGTGGGGTTGTACCCAAAAACTTGTTTGTTGTTGGCCCATTGTTGTTGTTCGACAACATTCGCACTGCCGCCGGCCCTGCTGCCCGTCGAGATTGTTGTAGCCGTTGTTGTCGAAACATGTTGCCACTTGAATTTGTTGCCTTTGATGGCGGCAGCGGCTCCTTCGACGTGCTGCCGCCTGCTGTGCGCCCTGTGCGCCCTGTGCACCCTGTGCTCCCCCGTTTCCGGGCAGCTAAGCCAGCCAAAGATTTGGCTGCTGAACTTGGCCCAACTTCTTGAGTTCGATTTTTGCCTTAGCTAAATCCTTTTGCCTTTAAATTTGTAACAAATTTTCTACGATTCGCGCATAAGTTGTATCTTCACAGTTTGGTTTCTCTTTGCAGCCATATATTTTATATTTTGCTTAACAATTTAGAGAAGGTTTTTTTTAATGTTTTACCTTTTATGTTAGCCTTAACAGAATAATTTCTTTTTCAGCTAAAGTTGTGAATTTCGTGAAACTAATCAAACAATAAGTTGAAACAAAAGAACCAGACTAAAAGTGTAGAAAAAGAGCTAATTTCCCAGTGTTGAAAAACGAAAACATATATCAAACTAAACACATTTTACTCTCAACTCAATTAAACGCGTTGGCCTCTATAAAAAGTAAGCATAAATATAAAATTATTTAAAATCTGAACATTTTCTTTAGCCAGTTTTCATAGGTAAAACAAATCGACATGAGTTGCTCAAAATAATTTTCTTTCGTTTTTTTTCGTTTTGTAAACTTTTTATGTGCCCACATAAAGCGATTTTGTTTAACTAATGACTCTGGTTATTGCATCTATCGGCATAGTCAGCTACCTTTAGTCGAAATTTCAAGCCATGCATTGATTTAACTCGTTTCTTTATGGACTGGAAGACGCCTCCTGTGTAAATGAACACAGCACAGGTGGAAAATGTAGCAACTGTTCAGGTAGTTATATCTTATATAAATCGTCAGATAGTTTGATGCCGCCTGAGTTAAGCTATTAGCTCATAAATTATGCCGACTGTGACGGAGTTGGTAATTAATAGGCGCCGATGCTGCCGCTGTCTGCCTCAGAGCGGAGGCCCACTTGACCAGCTCCGTCGCCCGGTTTTCACTTGGACGAACTACTTCATTTTTTTTTTGTAGTTCCGCGAGGCGTTCATGAAACATAAACAAATGTTATTAATAGCACAGTGCTTTGGCCAGATAGCATGTGATATCGGATATCCTTTAGTCGGTTCACATAACTCCCAACCTAAAGTCGAACATGTTACACATTGCTTGCAATGAAAAAGAAATTGTAGGAAATTATGTAAAAAGCGTAAGTGCATTTTATGTGAATGGCAATAAAGAAAACGATACCAAATCTAGTTTACTTTCCCTAAAGTTCACATGCAGCGGATATAATGGTCGACAAATAGATTTCCATATTGTCTATGAGATTAATGAATAATAATGAAGATTTGATTAGCAAGCAAATCATGGTCTTCGGCTGAGACAGTTTTACATCCATAATAAGGCCAGAGATTCAAATCAGGACCCTCGTTGCACCAAGGACTGCTCTTTAAATTTACCAAACTATAACATTTGTATATAATAATAGTAGATAATGCTCATTTTATACACTTGCCGGGCAGAAACTTTGAAAGCACCTTCAAATGCCTTGAGCTAAAAGCAACTTCAAAGTATTTTGTGCTTTAAATATTTCAAATTTATGTATGCAAACTTTTTATAAATAACTCTAGTCATATAAATAAATGCTTTCAAGGCATCTGAAAAACGAAAAATCAAAAATATCCGAAGCTTAAAGGGCATCCTTTGGTAGCTTATTCTTAGCTCGTTTTGGCCAATGTTTTCGGGCAATTATCGAACACTGGCTAATTAAATATAATTTTGTGGCTAACAATAAAGACAAGTTTCCTTATTTGCCTTTTTAAAGCTGCTTTTGGCCTGTTAATCAGCTGCAAATGCTTCACATATCGTAAATCAAACTTTCAAATTGTTGTTTTACACATTAAAAGTCAGCTTAATTTATTGCCATATATCCAGTAGCTGAATTTTCACTTTGTTGCCAACACTATTATTATCGGACAGTTAAATGACACACCCAGCCCACAACTGTCTGAGAAAACTCCTCAAATCAAACAGCATATAAAAAATGAAAAACTTAAAAAATTGAGGGAAAAAATAACGAAAAGCTGAAAAAAAGGCAACATTTTGCTGAAAGCTTGTTTCCTGCAGTTGCCGATCCGTCAACGGGTTCGACTCTTAATAGGGAAATAATTAAAGTCTGGTTTCGAGACAAGAAACGCGACCATTTGGCGGCTACGCGGGCTGCTTACCTGATGAATAATGATATAGGGGCTCGATTGTGACACAGTTTGAATTTGCGTTTGCATTTTACTTTTATCTCTATTTAACACACACTCCCCCTCTCTCTCTCTCTCTCTCGCACTCTCTTTCAGCTCCCCTGGCCGCGTCCTGTTGCTCAGGTAAGTTCCGATTAGCTTGTGATAATTCTCTATCCAACTCTGGCACATTCACCCCTATCAGCGCCATACAAAGGCTGCTTGAACAAAAAAAAAAAAAAAAAAAATATGGTAAAAAATCATTGGGAAAAAGGGAATCCAAATGCACTATGCGCTTTTATGAGAAATGATTTGCGATTTGTGTGCATTCGTTTGAGTTTTATAGACGTTTCATTACCAGGCAACAATTTCCCCAGTGGCTGTTTGTGCATCGTAAAAAAAGCTCGATTTTCTTTCTTTTTTTTTTTTGTTTTTTAAATGAAAATGCATGGAAAATTGCTGCAACTAACTGGCAGTGAGCGCAATGTGTGGCCAGAGTAGGGTCGGGGGTCGGGCCGGGCCGCATAACACCGTTTGATATTTGCATGCGTTTTTAGTGCGCACTGGATTTTTAATGCATTGCACAGCACTGACAATGTTGCCATTGAATTGCCATTGATTACAGCTCAAACTTTGTAACTCTGCGCTTGTGTTGCAGATTAAAGACCGATTGGAATTTAGTTTCCAATGCGAGAGTGTAAAATTGGCTGCAATGGTGAGCACCTAAATAAAACAAAAAACCGGGCAAATGTGATTGAACGTTATTTAAAGGAAAAAGACACAAATGCAAACATAATTAAGCTAATGATGATAATGCTGATTAGTGCAGAAAACAAATTGTATACAAATATGATGCGTTTTTGAGTAACACATTTTAATTACCTTAATTACTTTTCCAATGAGGCTTAATAAAACTTAAGTAGACTTTAAATTTAAACAGGCAGAGCAAACTAATTGAGAGGTCAAAAACTTTATATATATATATATCCAAGCCGATGCGGCGTTGAATATAGCCGATCTTTCATTAACATATGCCTCAAAATGCCAGCACACAGGCCGGCCGAATTGAGTACGGCTCCTTCAAGGATATGGGTCGCTGTTCGTGTCAAGTGTTGTCTCCGCAAGTGTTTGTGCAACCTGAACAGCAGCCGGGGGAGGGCGAGCAACCCCCGAAAATGTTGCAGGGCACGCGTGCACACGCCGGGAGACAAAGCGCAAATGTCACGTTATCCTTGTGAAAGGACATAGACCATGGTGCAGAGTGCAAAAGTGCGCTCAATGTCTTTTCAATTGCATTTAAAATGCAGCAATTAAACCGCAATTTCTATAAAAAATTACGCCTCAAATACGAGAAAGAAAACAATTAAGGCGTGTAAGCAAGGAGCCAGCTGCCAGCTGCCAGCTGCCAGGAGCGAGCGGCAGCCAGGACGAGCTACGGAGGCCATGACAACAATTACGAGATCCATTTAACTTTGGCAGGATGCGAAGAATGTGAATGCGACACATGTCGCAAAACGTAGCGGGAGACGGCGAAAGGCGTCGTCGACGGCGACGGCGACGGCGACGGCGAAGTCAACAAAACTGGCGACATGCCGACTAACACACACACACACACACACAAACACACTTGCTAAGAGACATTCGCATTCATGTCCTGCGTTAAAAAGTCACAAAAAAGTGAAATAATAATATAAAAAGGGGCGAAAAACTTGAATGTCGCCTCGCTAAAAGCGCACAAATCTTGGCAAACGTTGCAAATATGAAGCGGGGCGAGTCCTGCCAGCGCAGACAATCCACACACAGGATGTTTTTGCGCTCATTATGCGCCAGCTGCAGTATATGTGTGTGTGTGTGTGTGTGTGTGGGTGTTGTGTGTGTGATTGTGTGCTTTGTTGCGCCTTGACATAAACATAAAGTTAAAGAAACGAAACGCAGTGCAATGCAGCGTATCGCAAAAAACTACCGACTACAGCATACCCTACAAAAACGACTGTATTTATGACCTACATATAACTTCCATTTAGTTTAGATCCAGTTCTATTTAGTTCGAAGTTTCTTTCAGCTGATTTTTAGCTATTCTTTAGTAAATAATACATAATTACATATAGTAAACTATACTATTGGATTTATATATATTGTAATTATTATTATTATTATGACTTAAATTTTTATTATTTTCGCTGCTTTGCTTCGCTTTGCTTTCTAGATAATGTTACGAATTGTGAATAGAGTATTAAGAGTTCGGCTCTGCCAATGCAGTTTTACTTTCCTTTGGTATGTAAATAAATAAAAGTGATGTATGCGTCTGCAGCTGCATATATGAATGAAATGTGTGTGTGTGTGTGTGTTTGTTTGTTGTGCTTGCAGGTGCTTGTGTGTGTGTTTGTGTGTAATTGAGTTTCACTTGGAGCCCGTCTGACATTGACTTTATTCGGGGCGCTGCTGGCGCAAAGACAAATAGGCGCAAACAGACAGTGGGACAGCGAGACAATGTGACAGAGAGTTGGACGGACGGATCCTGACTGCGGAAAGGCTCACATTTTATTTGTTGAAGTGCAAGAAAAGCAGAAGTCAAAAAGGGCTTAATGCACTTAAGAATTATGCGAGGCATGAGCGAAATAAAGCAAAGGAAGAACAGAAGATATTGTCAACAAGCTCTAGAGTATGTGTATGTATATGGATGGGTTGTATTCTGGATTGCAGCTGTTTGAGCTCTGCAATTATAATGCATTCCAACTTAATCCTTGAGCGAAGGATTTGAGGTAAATTGAATTTTGAAAGCTTTTGTCGTTTGATAGTTCGCATAAAAGCCAACAGTATTTTCCTAAGAAACATAGAACTGCACATCATTTTTGATTCAAAGATAAACAAATAATAGTTGTACATAAAACATTGTATACAAAATAAAATTTTAAGATATATGCTAGGACTTGAAACCCCAATCCTCGTTTAATAAAAGTAATCACTAAGTATTGCATTAGCAATTTGTATAAAGAAATTCGTGTAATATAAATAATTGCAATCCTTAAATCAAATACAGTTCACATAGATATGCACTTACATATAGTTTCCAAACACTTGACTCGCAACGTAACAAATTGACACAGTTTGTAACACTGGTTGGGCGATTAAGGCCACAGAGCATCCACTAATATGGCAGGATTAAGACCATGAAAAATACTTGCATAATTGTCAAGTTATGTGCGTTGAACAGCAGCTACTGTCAAATACGATTAATAAGCCCGCAAAACAGGCACACGCACACTCACTCACTCACACACATATAGGCACTGCACTACATGAGTGTTGCAAAAGAGCCACAAACTCCACACAATACAAACACCATGCACACAATAATGCGACAATGGGCATGAGCGGGACAGACTGTGCTCGAACGTTGGCATTTTTGGGCTGGCAGAATACTGAATACTAAAACTGAATAAGTGAATCAATGAAGTGAATAGTGATTAAATGCGAGTGTGTGCGAATGAGCCTGCCAGAGCTTCGCCAGAGCTCTTTGCTCCCCTTTGACTGAGTCCACTTGCATTTGTGTGGGCTCAGCTTGTGAGCGTTTTGTGTGCGATTATCGATGCATTTTGGCAATACCACATTCCACATCCCCATTGATGTATGCTATCAAGAGTATCGATACGTTGAATTTACGGCCATTTGCTTAAATTTCCATAATATTTGATGAATTGTCCTATGACGATTTGCCATCTAACATATTACAGGTCACAATGTCATTGTTTTTTTTTTGTGTAATTTTGCGCTATATAATATTTGTATGCTCTACATTAGTAAATTTCTGCACGTATGGTAAAAATGATCTGCTCAAAAGATCCACACATACTGAAAAAACTGATATTCTAGCCACAGCTTTAGAGTTTTGTGACAGTTCTAGAGTCATAAAACCAGTTCCCATTCTGTGGCAAATTGCTTTCTTTCTCTTTTGTCTATTGAGTTCTCTACTTAGTTAGTAAATATTTGTTCTTTTCGATAAGCTGCAAATTAATATAATTCCTACTTGAGTCTCTATTTTCTTCTTCGCAGCCATTTATATGTGGCATTAGTTAGAATGCTTCGATGGGTTTTTGGCGGTTTTCAGTCTGTTGTCTGGCTAATTTCGCATCGCTAATGTCACCAGTTGCTGGGCTGCATCAGTTTGCATCAATCCGCATCAGTTTGGCTCAGTGGTGCAGCAGCCTGGCCAACATGTAGACGCAGCAGACGTCAGCATGTTCCTGTACCCGACACGTCATCTGCCGCCACCCACTGCGCCCCGCTTCCTCGGCGCTCGGCGCTGCTCTCTCGTGTCGCTGCACTCACTCGTGCATACATGAAAGTCAATTAAGCGTATTAAGTGCAACTGTGTGCGTGTGTGTGTGTGTGTGTATGTTTTGCTGTTGCTGTGCTTATCATGACATTTCTTGGCATTGGCATCAAACAACAAACGTTCCACCACATTCGCAGCACCACCCCCATTCGATGCATGTCGCTTAAAATGGGCTTCCCTTTTAACTCATGCAACCCTTTTGGGCATCGGTGTGTGGGTGGCAGGGGTTACGCGACAATTTCTCGCATTCGATTGTGCCCGAATGTGTGTGAATGTATGTGTGTGTGTGGGTGGGGAAGGGAAGGATTGGCAGAGCGGTGTGTGTGAAATGTTTGCGGCTGATTGCGGTTCTTAATTTGCTTTAAGATATTGTACTTTGGTTTTGTCATCCCGTTTTCATATGAAAAGTGCTTTACACTGAGCAAAAAATTTAACCACATGCATATTTTTAACTCCGCTTGCGTAAATTTTACATTACTGGAATTACGATCAAACCGAGCCTTATCTTAGACATTCATGTATTTCCAAATATGTATATTTAAATAAATTGGGATTGTTGAACTTTTCTTCTTCTTCTTAACTTGCTAAGAACAGCTCCATATTATGGATGGACAAATATTATGTCATTCTCGTTGGTTTGTCATGCTTTTGCGAATTGAATAATATAATTTGTGACAGTTGCAACATGCACTGTCCTTAGACAAAAGCTGATTCAAGCAATCGTATTTACATATCTCAGTTGTCTTAGAACTCTGTTGCTGCTGTTGCTGCTGTTGCTGCTGCTGGGTTAGACAACATTACGCATACGCAATGTTGTACGGGCAACGCCTGCAACGTTTGTTGCACTGCCTCAGCATGCAGGATAAGCTGCTCGCATGGGATACAGTTGCTGCTGCTGTTGTTGCACCCCTTAGAGATGGCACATGTCAGCTTCCTGCCCGTGCTCCCTCGCCCTGGGGTCGCGCCTTTTCGAGTGTTAATTGTCGTATGCAAATTTTTGCGCATCCACAAAATGTAACAAAACACGATTTTGAAAGATGCAAATTGGGTGTTGCTGTTGCTGTTGCTGTTGATGCTGCTGCTGCTAATGCTACTGTTGCTGTTCCTGAGTCCAGGCAGTGAGTGTCAAAATAAGCTTTAAATTACGACGTTGTTGCCGCTCCAGGCTGCAGGCAGCAGGCAGCAGGCACCAGGCTCAGCACCAGCCAGAAACGTGCGGCGTAATTTGCAACTGACAAGAGTGAAAGTTATGCGAAGGGGCTGCAAAAAGTGGCACGGCCAGGGCTACAGCCCGCATTGCCGACCGCACGTCCGCCTGCAAGCTATAACAAAATGTCACTTTTGGCCAGGATGCGCCGGTGGACCTGGGGGGCTGAGGGGTTGGGGCAAGCTGGACTCGACTGGCTAGGACATGCCGCATGCGTGATTCTGACATTTGATTAGGTTGCCTTTGTCGAAATGTTAATTTGTCTATTGAAGGTGGCAGGACACTAGACCTTGCACTCACGCTCTGTCCCTTTCTCCCCCTCTCTCTCTCTCTCTCTCTCTCTCTCTCTCTCTCTCTCTCTCTGTCGCTCTCCATCGCTTTCTTCCGCTCTGTGTCTAGCCTCTTGCCTCAAATTGCGGCGTATTGTTTAGTGGCAGCTTAGTCGAAACTCTCAGATAATTATCGATTTTTGCAGCAATTTGAAATGCCAAGTGCTTGCCACATGCCACACGCCGCACAAGACAGCTGCAGCTGAATGGCAAATAATAAAACAAACACGAGTAAATTTCAATTTCAAATGCGAAGCGTCATTTGCAAATTAAGACAAATTGCGGCTCAGCATTTACTTAAGGCAATCTCACTTATTACAAAATTGACAAAAGACAAACGCATAATTGCCATATAATAATCATAATCCGCACAAAGCAAACACGTTCGGGCCCCCCCGTTCAAATTTCAACAGACGTCTGCAATGCATAACACCAAGCACACGCACACACACACACACACACACGAACACACGAACACTCAGGCAAAGACATTCAAATACAGCCCACAAACTTGTCTGGGCTTCTTCTTTAACTTGGCCACTAATTAAGAAGACAAACTGTGAGCTGTGCACACATATCTACAAATATACATATATATATATATGTATATATAAGTATGTGTATATTTTCAAGGATTGCCAATCTGGCTGGACTCTTTACTATGCAGCTGCTCCAACCATAGTTGGGTATGACATAGTTTCCACTGTCTCTGGCCACAATTGAAGTTCATTTAAAACACTTGATTCAAGCAATTAAGCCTTAGCATTGGCTAGTATTTACATATTTATGTTTGTGTATTATGACTCCTGCTTGTTGGGATCAAAATTGTCTCTACGAAGCAGAAGCATTTCGATAGATTATATTAAATATTCATATAAACGGTCTTAAATCGTATATTATAGAATGCGGATTGCGAAAACTTATCAAAAATCGATATAGCCTTTAATCAAGCCATGTCAGAGTTTTGATATATTAACGATATTGAAACCGATTCCAAATGGTTATAGCTGATGCCATTAATATTCGATTTATCTTGGAGCTATAAGCTGCCTATAAGTTTTTGACACGATCTCAGAAGAAATTTTCAGATAAAGAATATCATTCCCAACAAATTCCTAAATTATTTAATCTCTGCTGCTTAAATGTTGTAGAAAGCCCCGCAAATCTAAATAAGCATGTTTTTATTCATAATTCTCTTATAAAGGTGTAATTTAATTCAAAAATATATTGATTTGTTTACTTTTTTATATATATTTTGCTAATTTAAAAATCTGTTTTCCTGTTACTCTATGTTAACATCCTTAATCAGAGTGACAAGAAATATGTTTGACGATTGCAATTAGTTAACCATATTCTCGCAGACATTGTGCCTAATTCCTCGATAATATTAAAAATAACTAATCCTTTGTCATCGAAACTGCGCCCAGTCACAACATAACTCAACACTTAACAAATTGCTTTTAGACTTGTATGTGTGCGTATAAGAACTTAAATAGGCAACCTGTAGCAGGTCTTCGTATTTGTGATTAATTATACAGGCGCTCAATTTGAAAACGAAACAAATTTCGAAAATTGCCGCCCAATTTGCAGTTTTATCACAAACAATTGGCTTTTTTGTGGTCTTATTTTAAATTTTATTAGACAGCGTGTTGTTGTTGTTTTGTTGTATTGCCACAAAAAGTGCTTGCAGTCATAAAGTGAACACATAGACCAAAGCAAAAGCACAAACACACACACACACACACCCACACACCCATACATAAATTCAGTGTCAGGCCCTAAGGCAATCGTATGCCACCGCCCACAATTGCCATATCATGCAAGTTTTTCTGTTTTATTATTATTTTATATATATTTTTTTTTCCTCATTTCACCAAAAGTCAAACACGAAAAATTTATTTATGGCGCTGATATGGCAACGCCAGCAAAGTGCAGCTACGCCGGCCATCACGGGGGGCACGGGGGCATGGTCGTCTAGCATTTATGACGGCGTTTAGAATTTTTCAACTGTTGCGCAAGTCATTTTATGAGGCAAACGAGAGCCGAGCTCCCACCAAAATGAGAAAAACTGTAAGGAAAAACGCATAAATTTTATGACTGACTGAGCAGACGAACGGTGCGGGTGGATGACAGGCGAGGAGGGGGGAGTGGATAGGCTGTTGCACTCAAATAACTGTATAGACCGCATTTTCACACAAAAAGTGCGCCGAAATTTTCAACTAAATTATTCATTGAGCGCGCAATTGAGCTGGAAATGTGCACACCATATATATGTGTGTGTGTGTGTTTGAGTGTGTGTGTGTGTGTGCCTTTGTGTGTGTTTGTGTGGTTGGATTGTCTGCTTGCCTGCCGCTGCTAGTTGCCACTGTCTAGGCACGTAGAATTGTCGGCTGTTTGGCTTCCTGGTCGCTGGGGCAACTGAAAATATTAAACAACAACAGATTATAGCCGAAGATTAAATACCCTTGCATTGGATTGCTGGCAAAGATTCGACTCACTGATAAAATGGTGCGCTAATAAAAATCTGTCGGCAGATAAAACTCAAAAGTTACGCAGCAATAGTCCAGGTCAGATAGATTAAAAAAACTAGTCTACACTGCGGGAAATAGGCATTGTAACATATCTCATATGACATGGCCACAGGTAAATAAATACAAAGCTGCATTACGACTTGTTCAGTGCGTTACAAATCTTGTTGCAAATCTGAAATACCAGCTGCAAGTGTAAAATACCGTAGAAGAGTAGAGTAGCGAATAGCAGGCATTGCTGTAACTCTAGTCGTGCATGCCACTCAACCACTTGACTCTTTGTTGCATGCCCCACGCCAGCTCCCCCACACAGATGCAAGGGGAGACAATAAACGAAATTGTTTTGGCACCAGACCCATCCAAGCGAAAGATAGAATAGTCCGCGTTAGAAAGTGTTTTCCAGGCTCGCATTCTCTGCCAATATTGTTGTGCGATATAAATGCAACGCAGCCAATGTGAACACATAGTTGACTATACGAAAAACATTTTTTTTATTTAAAAATGAAGATCGGCTAAAAAAATGACTCACCTGTAAATAATACAGCAATCAGTTGATCTTTCCATGCCTCATAATTAATCGTTGGGTCCCTCTTGTCAATGACGTTGAAAACAACAAGCAACAGATAGGTAATGACAAACACGCCAGAGAATGCGAATGTTACCATATATATCGTCAATGCCAATAAATTGTGCTAAAACTCATGTATTTGAATGAATAGAATTTAAATTTTAGTGAATATGGCCATTACCTGCACGAGTACGTCGATTAGCCAAGCCGATAACAAGAGCATTACAATGAAAAATGTAAGGGAACAGGAAAACTCGATGATTCCTTTACCTAAACAAAATTAAATGAATAAAATCAAAAGATCATTTTGATATCATTAGGCACATATACCGCTCTCTAAAGTAAAGTACAATAGCAGAATTGCGAGAAACATTTGTACGGCAGCTGAAAACCAGCATAGAATGCGGGTTACTGTGCGATTTGGAAATAAACCAAGCCACACACACACACACATTTCAAATTTAAATAATTTTAAAATTTTTGTTTGAAGGCATTTTCCAAGCATGATTTTACGAATTGTTGTCAGTGAAAGTGATTGAGAACTTTGCTTGATCTATCAGAAAACCTTTTTTCTATTCCAACCTTGACAGCTACGATCCTTGCAATTCATTGTTAGTTTCAGGAATATCTTATCGATATGAGATTACTGTCACTCTCATTGAAATATACTATATTACTATCATCATCAACTTTCAATCGAAGCAAATTATTGTTCAAAGATTGAGTTTTCATATTGGCTTTCAACTGAAATTATTTTCTTCACATTGATTCACAGCTATGTTTATATATTGTCAACATCTGAAACTGATATGTAAACAAAAAATAAAAGGCTATTGGTTTTTTAAAGTTTCTTAAATTTGCCAACAATTTCCGCGAAGTACCCAACCAGTCAGATGACAGCACGAGGGTGGATTTCAGCTGCCTAAATGGGTGGCAGGTCTGAGGCTTTGGACGAAACAAAATCTCGCATGCATAAATTAATTAAAGCCTTTTTTGTTGCAAATCAGACAAGGGAATTTGGCACACCTCTCGAGCTGGATATGCGGGCAGCTCCAATGGCAGGGGGCAGCTTAATTGCGTTTGCTAGTTGTCAGGGCTGGGTCCCTTCAGGGAGGGCAGGTAGGGTGTTAACTGACGTGATTTGCTGGGCATTTGTTGTTGGAGCGACCGCAGGCCTTCTGATCAATTTGCTGTACCCTGACAGATTGAGGCAGCAGCAGAAAATGTCATCGTAGCACCGCCTGCCACCCACCGCCTGCCTCCCGCATCCTTGCATCAGCTCATAACTCAGGGCTCAACTCTTTTCAATGCTTGCGAAATGTGCAAAACTCATTTATCACGCTGACCTGCAGCTGCACCAATGGCAATACCACAAAAAGTGCAACAATTTCTGTGGCGCCACTTTCAGTAGCAAAAAAAAAGAGAAGAGAATAAAAAAGTAGCCAAGAGGCAAGCGGCAAGCGGCAAGAAAAATGCTCTGCACATCCCCTTCAGCTCCATCTCCGCCGCCGCGTTCGACAAGCGGCCCTGTTCAGCTCTTGGCTGCCAGAACGCACTCATAAATCATAAAATTCCATGCAGCCCAGCAGCAATAGCAATGACGCCATCGTCATCTTTATAATCGGGCAAGGCGCCTGTCTCTCCCCTGCCTAACCTGCTCCTGAAAAGGAATCGGTTCTGCATTGCTCCTATGTGGGCGTAACCGTTGGACTATGATGTTGCACTTTGTAGCTGGTAAAGTGTGAAATTGCGTTGGCAACGCGAATTGTTTTTTTTTTCTTTTCAATTTTTCTTCTTTATTTTTTTGTTTTAGTCAATAGTCCCTGGCTTCATTTGCCACCCACACAGAAATTATGTGCCGCTGGGTTTACGGCTGGAATCTGTTGAAGTTCCGCTTCTTTAGGCAACGAGTACGTGTGTGAGCTACCTGAAGGCTTTGCGACAGGGGAATGTGCTTGCAACATTTCATAATCAGAAAAATATATAAAGAATTTTATGAGTCAATTTTGGTTTAACTTCAATAACCCATTACTATTACACTGCTCGAAATCCCTGCCTTAAATTTAAATTAATTGCTTTGACCTTTCGCTGTTTCATTCGGGTTGTGGAAACGAGCCTTTGGTTTGAACCTTGCATCTCACACTGTATTAATTTTTCAATAGAACAAATCTATTTATTATAAATTAAATTTGTTATATATATTATTTGTTTAATGAGGACTCGTCTAAGTCTTCCAACTCCGCCTAAAATATAAACATTGAAGCTGCTACACGACCAAAGTTCGTTTGATTTTAGCTTTTTAAGAATCCAAGCATTACAAGAAACTTGAAGCGAACCTTCTGGTAATCCCAATACCCAACTCAAAGTGGCGACTTACTAATTTTACAATTTATTTACACATTTTGTGCAAAATGAACGCACAAATAAATCAATTAGCACACACACAAATACAAACCAATACAAGCTCCATTTCAGCTTGAGTCACACCTGAGCAAGGTTCCAGAACCCGAACTGAAGCCGAAGCCGAACCCAAATGTGAGCATAAACTGTTGTCCTGTTTGCTGTGGCAGACGCGGCGGCTAATTGATATAAACGACTGTCTCCTACGGTTTGTAATGCCAGCTGAATGCTGAAAAACCTGCACAGCTTTCACTGACTTTGCCTTTATTAAAATTTATGCGATGCCACAATGAAAGTTGCATGTTTTTTTTTTAAACTTTAATTTTGTGCTTTTTATTTATGTTTTATTATTTTTATTTTTGAACCATTTACTTAAAGTTTCCGCCAGCGAAAATCCTCAAGCTCTGAGCGACAGTCGGCAGTCTAATGCAATTCAGGGCATTTACTTGCACCTGCCGCTGGCTGCCTGGCTGTCTACTGGCGTTTAGCGTTGCCTTCCACTAACTATGGAAACCACTGACATGCAACAGAATTTATAATCGCACACACACGTTCAGCCTCACACACCCACACACACACACACACATACACAGCACCTGCTACACCTGAGCGATAAAAACCCACAAATTTTGCGTGCGCTAGTTATGAGGGCGTTGTCGCCGCCGTGTGGGCGTGTCAATTGCATGACGCCCCGCACCTACACCCACACCCACTCCCACACCCACACCCAGTGGCTGCTGTAGCAGCACCTGAAACCAGTCTCCAGCTTGTGCATCCATCGTTGACGTTGTCTGGCAAAGTGCGTGTCTCGATTTCTACATAATTAAACTACATCAGCCATGCCACTTGCCGTGGTACATGTTGCTCTGCTCCTCCAGCAGCAGCCGCTGCCCCTGCTGTCCCGCCTGGCTTTTTGGTTACGTGTGCGTGGCGCCACCACTTCCGGTTTGCGCCGGTTGCGTCCGGGCAACGGGCGACCGGCAACGAGCACCAACAACTTTGGCGCTAAACTTTTAATGCACGTGCACTGGCCACCAAGAGAAAGGATGAGAGAGGGAGAGGCTGGCAGGAAGAGAAATGAAGAGAGGGTGTAAGTGACTGAGCTGGAGGGTTAGGGAGGCTGACTTTTGGGCAACGGATTGTGGTAGAATTGGGTGGCATCCGTTGGCAGCAATTGACATGGTAAGCCAGACGGGCGACAAAATTGTCCACAACGGGCACTTTAAATTTGGGACAAACGCAGATGTGTTGTTTTTAAATATTTCATAACACATTACAAAATAAAAATGTCGTTTCAAATATTTTAAAACATTATCAACTATGCAACATCATTATTTATTTTTTTTTTTTAACTTTTCCAAATTATTGATATATGAGTGTAGTTGTGGCTTTATTTATTGGATCAGTTAAACCGAGAATTCATTTGAATATATGTATATGTCCTTGAAGCTAAATTAATAACAGATATTTTTGGATATCTGTAAAAAAGAAAATGCTATGATAGTGAAAGTGCTATCCATGAAAAGCTTGTTAAAGATATCTGAAAAATTAAATTAATCGCCTGATCTTTTATATCATCTATATGATCTAACAAGACAGATAAATGCATAGGTTTTTCGAGTTATCATCGAATGCGTTCTCGACATTTGTGCTGGGTGTCACAGTTCTTATAACATAGTTTGTGCCTACATGTGTGTGTGAGTGTATGTAGCTGTGCGTTAGTTTTGTATATTGTTGTTGTAACTGCGTCTGCCTCGTTTGCACGAAAATTTGTTGGAATTATTTCGAGCAGCTCTAAATTTCGCAATAACGAGCCGCATTTGACGGGCATACAAATTGCATGCTTCTCCTCACCAGAGGGGACGAGGGAAGCGGGTGCTGTAACTGAAGCTGGGCCTCTTGGTTCGTCGCTGGGCGCTTTGTTAAGGCCAAGTCAAGTGCGTGTGTGTGTAGCTATGTGTGTGAATCGGGTTGTGTGTGTGTTGCTTTCAACTTTCTTGGCCTGGCCTTAGTTTGCCAGTTTACCAGTTTGCCAGGGCTGCTGTAGGGCAGCCAAGTTTCTGGCCGGGATTTGTTGTTCGAATTTGGCCAACTTGCAGATAGTACATAATTAAATAGCTTAAGCATGCCACCATGCAAGCCGAAAACAACATTATAACAATTTAGCCAACGCCATCTTCGCAAAGATTCTGCAACTTATGTGGCAAAATATTTGTGCAAACTTTTCAATTTTTCAACAGATTCCCTATGCTTTTTTATCCAGCTTTTTATATATTTCACATTGCCCTGTTCGGACTGGCTCAGGGGCAATCTTTTTGATTTAGCTGCGCAGCCATTAACACGGATTGATTGCCCCCAAGGACAAAAGACGCCAAGTGGCTTGCAGGACATGCGCCGCAGCTGCTAGTCTGGGCTCCAAGATGACTTCAGCTAAAGGTTGGAGGCATTAGAATATGGGCGAAATTGTCTTTGTGCGTGCACACAACAAAAAATGAAAGTTGCCTCGTTGTTGTTGTTGTTGTTGTTGTTATTTTCCCCTGACATTTAACAATTGATTTTAGCTGAGTTGCCTATCTATTTATGCATATAATGTTGTAGGCAAAGTGTTGCTGGGATCTGCGAGCAGTAAATATAAATTAACATTCTAATACTGATTGATATCACACACAATTCATTGAATCCAAATAGAAAATGCTTTCCGTAAATATATTCACATAAAATTTATTTCGTTTATTTTGAAATATATTTCTTGCTGATATAAATATTTTATTGTATATCCGTTAAACATTAAGTGAGCAAATATGTTTGTTTTTTTATGTAATTCATTTAAATATATAAGCAGGTGCTCAGTAGACAGCTCGATTGAACATTTATAAATAAACGTCACAGCATAGAAAGAGAAAGACAGACAGAGATATCAGCTCAAGAAATGGAACTTATTCTCTGATGGTGTTCAGAAAACGTCCATTATCATTTTGTTAGAATACTCAGAGCTGTGCAGATGCATATCTCATGATCTGGGAGAAGCATAACTGCCTCCCTTTGGGATATATAATCTCTATCTTCAAAAGATTCGCTCATTTATATTTGTATTTTTAATTTGTGAATTAAGATTTAAGTTAAAAA